ATATGTCTCTAAAATAAGTAAATCTTTCAAAAATATGCATTGATTTAGATTTGGTTTGGTCAACAACATTACTACATTTCTACTACGTTAGGCACTGAAGATATAAAGATGCAATGGGCAGTTTATGTGAAGGAGCTCTGCATGGGGAAAAACAGGCATCAGTGATGATAATATATATCCAAAGCAGAATTAAATATCATTTTCCCGGGGATCCCTGGGTGGCTCAGTGGTTTGGCGCCTGCCTTTGGCCCAGGGCATGATCCTGGAGCCCCAGGATCGAGTCCCAAGTTGGGCTCCCTGCGTGGGACCTGCTTCTCCCTCTGCCCGTGTCTCTGCCTTTCTCTCTGTAAGTTCCTCATGAATAAATAAATAAAATCTTTAAAAAAATATATATAATTTTCCTTGGATAACCCCTCCTTTGATAATGTATTTGATGTCAGTTAGTTAAAACCCATACCATCTTCTGAGTTAGAAACTGTGATCACTTTTTACTTTTCTCTCCTTCAACGTTTGCTCATTCACCAGATCCTGCCAACTGGATCTCAGAAATGTCTTTGGAATCTGGCCTTTCATTTCCACTGTTTGTAATCTGGGCCTTTACCTCTTACTTTGAATCATAATAGCTATTCTTCCAGATTCCAGTCTTTCATCCTCATTGCTGACAGAATTACTTTCCTATAAAACATACCTGATTTAGTTCCTTTCCTGTTAAAGCACTGCTTTGGGTTCTCTTTTTTTCCCTATAGATTTAAGTCCAGATTCGATAGTGTGGCTCAGTCTTGCAGAGATCAGCCTGACCTTAGCTCTCATTGTTATTTTTCACCCTTCCCCCTCACAAACCTTGTGTTCTGAGCCATTTCTCAGATATTCATTCTTACCCCAACAAAAATGTCAGATTCTTTGTTGATTGCATGTATTTACATATGCTGTTCCCATTTGCCTTACCAATTGGTTTAAGACTCAAGAGTCCTCACTGAAGCATTTCTTGCTGCATCCAGTGTATATTATTCATATGTTCCCTCACTGCCCCCAAGGTATTTTGCTCATATTTCTGTTAAAGGCACTTAGTGTACTACATCAATTTATGTAATGACAGCTAACATTTTATGAGCCCTTACTCTGTGCCAGGGTATTTGAACACAGAATAATATAATCTAACATATTTTAAAAGATTCATTCTAGCTTTTAAATACTGAGATTAGAATATAAGAATGATAAGAAATGTCTTATATATTTTATCTCAAGTAATTAACACAATAACTGGTAAATAGTGCTAATAAATATCAAAAGGCTTACAAGTTTTCATAGCAGTCCAACTTTAAAATGACGTTTTTAGATAACCAGATATTTGAATATAGGTTAGATATTAGATGATACAAATGGTATTTTTTAGGTGTAATAATGGCATGGTAGTTATATTTAAAAGAGGGCTTATTAGTTAGAAATACATAAAGAATATTTACTGGTAAAATCATTGGTGTTTAGATCTTGCTTTAAGTGCTCCAGCAAAAATAAGCAAATATGTAAACGTGCAAGGATTGATAAAACAAGATGAGTAAAATATTCATAATCATTAAAGCAGGTGATGGATGTATGGAGTTCATTCTACTATTTATTACATTATTCTACTTCATGTATATTTGAAATGGCCATAATAAAGTTTTATATATATTTATTTAGAGATATAAATATCTCTCCAGATGTAGATATCTGCTTACAGAGAATACATATAGATAGAATACATAACATTTTACTGGTTGAGTCTACCTTTAATAATTCTACCTTTAAAAATCTGTCATGAGGGCAGCCCAGGTGACTCAGCGGTTTAGTGCTGCCTTCAGCCCAGGGTGTGATCCTGGAGACCCGGGATCGAGTCTCATGTTGGGCTCCCTGCATGGAGCCTGCTTCTCCCTCTGCCTGTGTCTCTGCCTCTCTCTCTCTCTCTCTCTCTCTCTCTCTCTCTCTCTGTCTCTCATGAATAAATAAAATCTTTTTTATAAAAATCTGTTATGAAGAAATAATCGGGGGTACCTGAGTGGCTTAGTCAATTAAGTGTCTGCCTTTGGCTGGGGTCGTGATCCCAGGGTCCTGGGATCCAACCCTGCATAGGGCTTCCTGCTCAGCGAGGCCTCTGCTTCTCCTTCTGCCCCTCCCCCTACTCATGCTCACTCTTTTTCTCTCAAATAAATAAATCTTTTTTTAAAAAAAATAATAATCAGGCTCAAGGATGTAGGTAAAAGGATTTTCATCTTAGTATTCTAACAATAGTTAAAATTTAAACAATTTAAATTTTTAACAGTTGGAAAATAAAAACTATGGTATAATTCTTGAAGTAGAATACTATGGAGTCCTTAGATTATTTTCAAAGACTAATGACATTAAAAATATTCAAAATAAAATGTGAGGTTAAAAAAAATTTCAAAGAAGGGTGCCTGGGTGTCTCAGTCAGTTAAGCGTCTGCCATCGGCTCAGGTCATAATCTCAGGGTCCTGGGATGGAGCCTCGCATTGGGCTCCCTGAGTCTGCTTCTCTTTTTCCCTCTGCCACTCCCTATGCTTGTGCTCTCTCACTCACTCTCTCTGTCAAATAAATAAAATCTTATAAAAAAGGTTTTTTTCAAAGAAATACACTAAAGTTGGGGCACTTAGCTGGCTCAGTCAGTAGAACATGTGACTCTTGATCTCAGGGTTGTGAGTTCAAGCCCCATGTTGGGTGTAGAGATCACTTGAAAATAAGATCTTTGGGGGGGGAAAGAAATTACTAAATTATTAGTAGAAGTCATCTCTAGATGATGAGATTTTAGGCCATTTTTATTTGATTCTTTATACTTGTCTGTACTTTTAAAATTTTCTTTAGTAAACATACCTGCTTTTATTAAAAACAAATAACAGAAGATAGTAGAAAAGTCTTGGGTTTAAACCTTTTAACTGTAATACTCTTAATAATAAAATAGGGATAAAGATGCATGTTCCAGGATGTTCATTGAATTGCTATTCTAACAAAAAATTGTCAATGTCTAAATGACGAGTTAAAGAATGATTAAATTATGGCACATCCATATGCAGCTAGTAAATGTTTTCAGAGAGTGAATTACTGAAAATTTTCATGGTATAATGGAAAGGAAGATACTGAATCATGTGTGCAATGATTTCAGTTAATGTTTTTTAAGAAACGAAAGATGAAGGCAATCAAAATGTTAGCAAATTATGTTTTAATTTTAGTTTTTCTGCTTCCAATGCTTTCTAAATTGTCTACACTGGTCATGTATTTATAATCAAAAAGATGTATTAAAGTATTTTGAAAGAAAATGTAGAGTACAAGGAGAAGAACATGGATGTTTGAAGAGAAAAATAAGATCTGGAATCAGTGCTAGAGGAATGATGCTGAGGAATTAATGAAATGTAAATGGTTATTTAGCAAAAGGTTGAATTTTATGCAGTAGGGCAATCCTGTTTAGTTTTATGTGTTCTTCTGTGCTCTCTAGGCTGACAGCACAACTAGAGGATGAAGCTGTAGTCCTCTAGGATTAGGAGTGCTTGGCAAAAGGTCACAGCATCTCTTGTAGCTGTTCTACCTTTGCAGTAGATATAAAGATGTTTTTATACACTGTAAAGTTCTAGGCAAATAGTAGTAGTAGTTTTTATTTGTCCTATGGCCACTGGCCTAGTTTAAGCCTTCCTCATTCTTTACACTTACTGACTGCTCTTCCTGCCTCCAATTCTTTTCTCCCTACCATCTTTTACCTTACTGCCCAGCTTTCTCTTTCCAAAGCACTGGTCACATCGTGTTATCTTTTTCTTTTCAGAAACCTGTCCTGGCTCTCCACTGCCTTAGAATATCTGAACTTTTAAGCCACAAATGTGAGGCTCTTTATGATCTGGTCTCAAAGTACCTTTTTACCCTAATCCCCTGCTATATCTCCAGACACTTTTCCCCCATCCTCATCATCCTACCTAAATATGCAAGGCCTATTAGCTAACAACTCTGTATTTTTGCCTATGCTACATCCTCTAAAACATTTGAGGGACAATTTTTGGACGTATGGTTGTATTTCTGCTTTGGTTCTGCTGTTTACAGGTGGCTGTGTGAGCTTTAATATGTTATTTTGATCTCTTTGAGCCTCGGGTTTTTTTCTTAATATCTCCATCTTCATAATGTTAATACCTACCTGACAGAGTTGTTAGGATTCATTCAGATAATGAATACAAAAGCATGTTGTAAACTAAATGCATGGCACACATGTATGGCATTATTTTCTACCTACCTCTGTCAGGATGCTTTTGACTTCAAATAACAGAAATCCAACTGAAAATGGCTTAAACAATGAGGAAGCAAGTCTGGAGGTAAGGCGGTTCCAGGGTTGGTTAATTCAGCAGCTCCGTAGTGTCATCAGGGACACAGGGTCCTGCCATCCTCCTGCTTTGCTCTTCTTTGTCTGTTGTTCTTTGGTTTGTTTCCCTCACGGTAGTTAGATGGCAACTACAGTCTTAGGTGTCATACAGACAGCAATGTTCAGAGGAAGGAAAGAAGAACATCCCTTTAGTATGCCCGTTTTAAGAGTGAGTAAATCTTTCTGGAAGCCTTTCCTCTGTCTCCCCCACCACTTTCCTTCATGTCTAATTGACAAAAACTGTAGCACATGCCCATGCCTAAATCAATCATCACTGGGAAAGGGAATGAGCTCAAGACCGATCATGATTCATCCCCTGGTGCTGGCTCCCACCTCTCCGGAAGGAACAGATGCTCAGAAAAGGACAAAGTAGGGGCTCTGTTAAGGAGGGAGAGATTGTGATAGCACAGCCTTCAGGGATGATCCTGCTTTATTAGAACAAGGAGATGGATGAGTGATAAGTAGTAGATTCATCGTAAAGGGGAGTTTGTTACTGGTAGATCAAGATTTCAGTCAGGCAGCATACAAAATGATGAGATAATGGATGGGGTGGGAAGAGTATGAAGCTTTTGTTTTTCTAGTTTTAACCTTTGTCTTTATATCTAAATAGGTATGCAGTGGAGCTGATGAAGATCCTGATGATAAAAATGCACCTTTTCGGCAGCGGCCATTTTGCAAATATAAAGGACACACCGCTGATCTTCTTGATCTTTCATGGTCTAAAGTAAGAAATTCTTACTTGAAGAGTGTATTAATTCTATGTAATTATGACTTTAGGATAAAAACAAGTGTTTTCTTTTTATGATTGTCACACTGTCAAGTTTTTGAATGGTTATATATATTTCATGGGAGTTATCTACAAAGTAATCGGTTAAAAAGAGGAGAAACATCAAGTTAGGCTAATAAAATGTATATATTACTTAACAGCTTCTGTCCCAAACTGTCTATATATTTGTACTTTTTTCTTCTTTATAAAGTAATTTTGCAATGTAACTATCCTCGCAAAGTGGATATGACTGCAGCTACAATGGTGAAGTCTGATCTAAGCAAGACTGCTTTGGCTAATCTATATTTATTGAATCATTAAGTTTAACAATATGTAACTCTTTAATAAGTTATCACTTTGGTTTTTTCCCTTAGAGCAAAATTATTTCAGAAGTAGAGGGCCTGTTCCACCACTGAACAAGTATCTTAGCAGTTTTGCAAAAACTTAAAGGGATACTTTACATTTTATTTAAGGTGTCTGAAGCATGAAGCATTGTTTGGAATTCTTGCATAATACCCTATATTTCCTTTGTGATTAACACTTGTCAGTAATCAGGATCTAAAATATATTTAGAATTGGAGGGGGAAGTAATATTTAAAAGCCTTAAACTAGGGCTCCTGGGTGACTCAGTTGGTTAAGTCTTCCTTCAATTCAGGTCATGATCCCCGGGTCCTGGGATCGAGCCCCACATTGGACTCCTTGCTCAGCAGAGCATCTGCTTCTCCCTCTCTCTCTCTCTCTCTGCCTCCTGCTCCCCCTGCATGTGCTCGCTCTCTCTCTCTCTCAAATAAATAAATGAATAAAAAAGCTTTAAAAATGTAAAAGCCTTAAACTGAGAAAAGTCAACGGAGTTAACAAAATACCAGCAGAGGGATATCAGTGTTGCACATATATTTTCACTGTGTCAAGTGAACCTCATGTACCACAAAGTTACTACTGGTATATATAGGCAAGTCAGGCTTTCCCTGAGCTCCAACTTTGAATCACTCCATTTATGAATTGCTGCTCCCGTCATACTTGTTTAGGTATTCTGGATGCTTTAAAAAAACTCATCTGTCATAATGTCTTTTTCTAACTTGGAAAAAACTTAGACCTTACCTGGTAGTCTGGTCTTAAACTGAGCCCTAATTGTATCTTTATACTCCTCCCGCACCCTGTGTGAAATCTGAGTTGTCAGAAGATACAAATCTGAAGTTTCCAGAATCTAATAATCATACTCATTGGGGATAAGTACAAAGTACACACATATTTGGGAACCTTCACTCGTTTTACTTTCTGAAAACAACCCAATATTTTTTATGGGATGTAACCCTGACTGGAAGAAATGAGCTCTCCATTGACCACTTATCAGTCAGGGTTCTCCAGAGTATACAACCAAGAGAACATACATACATAAGGAGATTTATTTTAAGGAATTGGAGCACTCAACTGTGGGTGCAGGCAAGTTGAAATCTGTAGGGCAGACTGGCAGGCTAGAAATTCAACAGGAGTCACACTGGAGTCTTAGGGCAGAATTTCTTCTCCAGGAAACTTGGTTTTGTTCATAAGGCCTTTATCTGTCTCTGTGCTCCTTTCTTTTGCTTTCTTTTTTTACCTGTTTACTTATGTACATGTCTAGATATTATTTGCAACAAGATTCTAAGGCCCAAAGTAGGGACCAGATTTTATTTTACTTTTGTTTCTCTTCAGTATCTAGCATAATCAGTATTTATAGTGATTTTTCTATCTATTGAAGACTTACTTTGTGCCAGGTAATGAGAATTACCTTGTTAATTCTTTTTTTAAAATTTTATTTATTTATTTATTTATTTATTTATTTATTTATTTATTTATTTAAGAGAAGGAGAGAAAGAGAATACATGAGCAGGGGAAAGGGCAAAGGGAGAGAGGGGGAGGGAAACAACTCCCTGCTGAGTGCAGAGCCCAACGATACCACTGGGCTTGATCTCCAGATCTGGACCCTGAGATCATGACCTGAGCTAAAACTAAGAGTCCTACAATTAAGGGACTGAGCACCCCAGGCGCCCTACCTTGTTAATTCTTAAAGTGACTTGAGAGGTAGACAATATTTCATATGTAGATAAGGAGACTAGGTCTCTGACCTATCCAAGATCACAAAACTAGTTATGGGTGGAACTTAGGTTTAAATCTAATTTCTTTGACTCTGAAGATACTGCTTGGTTCAAGAAAATTATTTAATTTCATTTATTCAATAAGTATTTATTGAACAGAATCTTCTTAGCATAACGGAACAAATCTTAATAAGTCTTCAGTATCTTCACTTTTAGGGATGTTTTCATATTTCTTTCATATGCTTAAAGCAATAGAGTATTGCAAGAATTGAATAAAATGAGTTTAATGGGGAGCAGACCATAGATTTGGGGGTTTTTATTTTTATTTTTTATCTGAATATTGTTGATATACATAGATTTGGGTTTTATACAGTTTTATTAATGAACTGAAAATAGAAAACTGTACATATTCTTCAGAACATTTCTGGAATTGAGTGGAACTTGAAAATAAAAATAATTGTTATTAGATGTTTCAAAAGTTATAAGTCTTTCAAAGTTCTTTTTTTTCTATGTAGAAACCATCTTTATTTTTTTAATTTAAAATCAATTAATGAATAGTGTTATATTAGTTTCAGAGATAGAGTTTAGTGATTTATCAGTTGCATATAACACCCAGTGCTCATCACATTAAGTGCCCTCCTTAATGCCCATCTCCCAGTTACCCCATTTCCCCTCTAGCAAACCTTCACTTTGTTTCCTAAAGAGTCTCTTATGGTTTGTCTCCCTCTCTAATTTCACCTCATTTTATTTTTCCTTCTCTTCCTCTATGTTCATCTGTTTTGTTTTTTAAGTTCCACATATGAGTGAGATCATATCATAGTTGTCTTTCTCTGATTTATTGTCACTTAGCATAATACCCTCTAGTTCCATCCATGTCATTACAAATGGTAAGATGTCATTCTTTTTGATGTCTGAGTAACATTTTTATCAAAATTCTGGGTTTTTTTAAAGATTTTATTTATTGATTCATGAGAGACACACAGAGAGAGGCAGAGACACAGGCAGAAGGAGAAGCAGGATCCTTACAGGGAACCCAATGTGGGACTTGATCCCAGAACTCCAGGATCACACCCTGAGTCAAAGGCAGACAGACGCTCAACCACTGAGCCACCCAGACATCCCTAAAGTTCTATTTTTTAATTTTGTATGTTACGCTATCTGTTTAAAAAACAGGGGCGCTTGTGTGGCTCAGTCTGTTAAATGTCAGACTCTCAATTTCAGCTCAGATCATGACCTTAAGGTCCTGGGATTGAGCCCTGCGTTGGGCTCCTCGCTCAGTGAGGAGTCTGCTTGAGGATTCTCACTCTCTGCCTTTGCTCCTCCCACCATGCACACATGCCCACATCCTCTCAAATAAGTAAATCTTTAAAAAAATAAATAAAACAGGTATACCACATAATGCATACACTTTTAAAACTAGCCCCAAATAGCACATATTTATTAGTGCAGCAATGTATCCAAATCAATATTTGCACTTAAGTCTTTTTACATTCAAATGTTAAAGATTCTTTATTACTTTTAGCAAATGACTAAGCATCTTAGTGCTTTTTTTAAAACATGTTCTACTTAAGCACTCTGCAGAAGAGTGTAGTGGTTAGAGCCTGGCCCGAAGGGCAGACTACCTAAGTTTGAATTCCACTCTGCCACTGATGAGCTGTGTAGTCTTAGACAATTATTTAATATCTCTGTCCCTCAGTGTCCTCATTTGTAAAGGGGGATAATAATGTAACCAACCTCATAGCATAGTGTTGAGAACAACTTTTAGCACATTGCAAGTACTCAATAAATGTCATCATTGCTTTGATTTGTTTAGCACCTTTAGACATACCAAAGAACACTAGGGTCTCATTTGTGTTTTCTCATTCATTATAACTCATAGTTCTCTCCTTAAATAGATTATGCTGAAAAGTTAATGAACTTCTGCCAGCTGGAAGCTTTTGACAGATATATGTTTGGTTCCTGGGTTGAGCCATCATAGTGCCTAAAGCAGTTACACTACCCTCTTATAGCTTTGAAAATTCTGTGATTTATTCCGAGATGTTTGACAATTTCTTTTCTCTCATTTTCTTGCCTAGGGTATGACAGGTGCACAATAACTTTTCATTTCCCTGCTGCATTATAGGGTAATCTTTTTGAAGGCATTTTAAGTGTCACTTAGGGAATTTGTGTGAGTTAAAATTCATTAGTGTTGCCAGTGTCAAAATAACTGAACTGAAGTGACAGTCAAATGAATGGATGCCTTATACTCATAGCCTCATGCAGACTATAACAACTAAGGCACACCTTAGTCCTCTCGTTGCCTAGCAGATTTCTTTTGACATAGATGGTAAGATTTTCCTAATTTCAGAACAGGTAATATAAAAAAGTCTTAGAATTGAAGGAATATGGTATGTAACTGGGAAAAAATGGGATCTTCCAAGTGAATTGGATAATCTTGTTCTTATGCTAAGTATAATAACAAAACTATTGAAATACATAGGACTGAAAATAAAAGCCTTTAATTGTACAAGTAGTGTTTTTTCATAGGGTGATAAAATGATCAATGTCAATTTCTTGATAGAACTACTTCCTGCTTTCTTCTTCGATGGATAAAACGGTCAGGTTATGGCACATTTCCAGAAGAGAATGCCTTTGCTGTTTTCAACATATAGATTTTGTCACTGCCATAGCTTTCCATCCAAGAGTAAGTAATTGTTTATGTATTTATTAGACCAAAAGAAGGCAAGGGAACCTGGTGTCCCTGAGGGCTTTTGGACTACAGAAAAAAAGTTATTAACAGCCACATAGTTAAGAACAACTTAATTTAGTGTTTCATTTTGTTTTATTTATTTATTAAAAGATTTTATTTATTCACTTGACAGCATACAAGCACAAGCAGGGGGAGTAGCAGGCAGAGGGAAAGGGAGAAGCAGGCTCCCCATGGAGCAGGGAGCTCAAAGTGAGGCTGTGCCAGGACCCTGGGATTATGACCCGAGCCAAAAGCAGACGCCTAACTCACCAAGCCACCCAGGCCCCCCTATTTATTTTAAAGTAGGCTCCACACCCATCATGGAGCCCAGTGCGGGGCTTGAACTCATGACCCTGAGATTAAGACCTGAGCTGAGATCAAGAGTTGGATGTTTAACTGACCAAGCCACCCAGGTGCCCCTCTTCTTTTTTTTTTTTAAGATTGATTGATTTATTTTTGAGAGAGCGAGAACACAAACGTGAGAGGGAGGGGCAGAGGGAGAGAATCTCCAGCAGACTTCCCGCTGAGTGCAGAGCTCTGTAACAACATGCAGCTCAGTCTCACAACCCTGAGGTTGTGACCTGAGTCAAAATCAAGAGTCGGATGCTCAACCAACTAAGCCACTCTGGCACCCCTTAAGCATCTGACTCATGATCTCAATTCAGGTCTTGATCTCCAAGTTATGTGTTTAAGTCCCACATTGGGCTAGCGTGTAAGCCTACTTTAAAAAAATGAGAAAGGAAATATTTTGCTAATCTGTATTAGAAAAACTGGAAATGTTATGGTCTAACTGTAAGAATGAAAAGCCGTCCCAGATCTTTAATAAGACATGCAGAGTATAAATAAAATAACGTATCCTGTTAAAGACAAGAGAGACTGGAGATGGAGGAAGAAAAGGAGATAGCAGGTAGATTAATTAAATATAGGGAAGCAAATAGGCAAGAATAGTGGGAGGTGTGGAGTGGGAAGAGACAAAAAAGAAAAGGCTGAAAGAGGCAAAGACCAAAATTCATTACAAGGTATACTGAATTCCCATTTAACATCTAAAAATATTTTGTTTTTTGGTTTTGGGATTTTGGTTTGGTTTGGGGTATTGTGGGTTTTTTGTTTCGTTTGTTTTGTTTTAGTGAGCTCTGCACCCAGTGCGGGGTTCAAACTCACAACCCTGAGATCAAGAGTCACATGCTTTTCCAAATGCGCCAGCCATCTTAATTCATTTTCAATGTAGAAAATCTCTCAGTTTCTTTCCTCTGAAAAGGAAGTATTTCGTATGATTTCAACTAAAGGAGGAAAATTCATCATGGAATTGCTGACCTATCTTATATCCTTGTAGGATAGAGCCACCAAATGAGTAAGGCTAAATTAATTTTCACTCTGCAACTATAAGCACAAGGGAAGTCCCATGCTGGTGCTGCTCCACTAGCTAGATTTAAATGAGTGGAGGATTGGAGTTGACCTGACTTACCCTCCCCTATGTTAATGTATAAATCCTATTTCTATTCATGTCCTCTTCGCTCTATGTTTAAGAACCTTTGCCATATTAATGGAACATTTTAGTTACATTTCTTTCTCTTTTTTCCCCAGATAAAGAGAGAAGAATGAACTTTTTTCCCCCCTCAATATAATTTCCCTTCCTGGGCAGGCTTATAGTGTAAGACCATAATAATTTTGAACCTTAGAAGACTTTGGTTAAGAACTTTGGTAAATTAAAAATGCATAATCAGGGGATCCCTGGGTGGCTCAGTGGTTTAGTGCCTGCTTTTGGCCCAGGGCCTGATCCTGGAGGCCCCAGATCGAATCCCACATCGGGCTCCCTGCATGGAGCCTGCTTCTCCCTCTGCCTGTGTCTCTGCCTGCCTCTCTCTCTCTCTCTCTCTCTCTCTCTCTCTCTCTCTCTCGATCTGTGTGTGTGTGTGCGCGCACGCGCGTGTGTGCCTCTCATAAATAAATAAACTAAAAATATTTTCTAAAAAATTAGACCAGCTTAGTGGTAGGCCTGGTTTAGTTTATAGCAGAGTTTTTCACCCTTGGCACTGTTGCCATTTTGAGCTGGATAATTCTTTTTTTTTCTTTTGTCTTTTTTGTTTAAGATTTTATTTATTGATTCATGAGAGACACAGAGAGGCAGAGACACAGAAGAGGGAGGAGAAGCAGGCTCCCTGCAAGAGCCCAATGCGGGACTCAATCCCGGAACTCTGGGATCATGCCTGAGCCAAAGGCAGACACTCAACTGCTGAGCCACCCAGGCGTCCCTTGAGCTGGATAATTCTTTGTTGTAAAAGGATTAAAGTCTATCCTGTACGTTGCAAAATGTTTAACAGCATTCCTGGCCTCTACCCACTAGATGCCAATAACTCCCCACCCCCAGTTGAGACCATCAAAAATGTCTCCAGACATTGCTAGATGTCCCCTGTGGGGCCAGCTTTGCCATCTGTCAAGAACCCCTGCTTTGAGATTGAGAATATGAATACTGAAGTGATTTCTTGCTGTCCTGGTGCCAAAGTTCCCACAAAATAACTGGTTCTGTGGGCTAACCGGTGTTACTCTTTTACCCAAGCATTACATGTATCCCAGAGGAGGATATGGACAAACATATCATTATAGGATAGTTTTTCCCAAAGCATGTTCCTTGAAGGTGCTAGCCCTGCTAGGTGTTCCTGCCTAACTTCGCTCAACCACAACACCCACTTCCCCCAAAATGGTCCCTGCTTATGTAAGTTGGAAAACACTACCTAGTTTATTCCTCTTTTGGAGATTGAGAATGCATGTTAACTGAGAATCGTCTTTAACTTTCTGTAACCCAGAATTCCTCAAACTTCTTGAACCATTCTACACAATATATGCTCCCAATACATATCCATTAACATCCGTACGTTGGAAAAAACAGTTTAAGGTTATGATAAAGTAATCAGAAATTCATTTCTCCAAAGTGAATACTGAAGTTTATAATTGTTATTTTTAGTTAATAACGCTTGCTTGAAGGCACCCAGCTGGCTCATTCGGAGCATGTGACTCTTGATCTTGGGGTTGTGAGTTCAGGCCCCACATTGGATGTAGAGAGTACTTAAAAATAAAATCTTAAAAAAATAATGCTTGAAGAATAATATTTTATAAATGGAATCTACATATTTTAAACATTATTTCTAATATGTTTATGTTTTGATTTCCTAATGAATTTTTCTTGATCTGGTAAAATGAGAGTTTTCTATTTTGCAACACCTTTAGGATGACAGGTATTTTCTAAGTGGGTCATTGGATGGAAAGCTCCGCCTTTGGAACATACCTGACAAAAAAGTTGCTTTATGGAATGAAGTAGACGGTCAAACAAAATTGATCACAGCTGCAAATTTCTGTCAGAATGGCAAATACGCAGTGATTGGGACATATGATGGCAGATGTATTTTCTATGATACAGAGGTAAATGATTATCTTCTGTAAATTACATAATGGAATACTTAGCAGTTTTGTGTAAGGTGGTGTATCCTCTCTGGGCATTATAAATTGGGGCAAGTAATACCATGCCTGTCTGCAAGCTGGATCAGATGATCTTTGAGATTCCTTCTAATTCTCATATTTTAAATTTGTGATTTCATTTTAGCATCTGAAATACCACACACAAATACATGTCCGATCTACCAGAGGACGCAACAAAGTTGGAAGAAAAATTACTGGTATTGAACCTTTACCTGGAGAAAATAAGGTACTCAGTATTCAGAACCATTTCTTTTCACACTATATATAATATATAATAGACTCCTGAAAGTTCCTACTGTCTTGGCTTATATTTTCTTTCATGTGGAATACAATCTTTTTTAGTTTTGAGGTATATTCTCTCTGTATATGTATATGTAATACACTTCTTCATTATACGTTAACTTAGAGTAAAAGGGGTGGCTCAGCAGTTTAGCGCCTGCCTTCACACCAGGTTGTGATCCTGGAGTCCTGGGATCAAGTCCCACGTTGGGCTCCCCTGCATGGAGCCTGCTTCTCCCTCTGCCTATGTCTCTGCCTCTCTCTGTGTGTGTGTGTGTGTGTGTGTGTGTGTGTGTGTGTGTGTGTGTGTGTGTCATGAATAAATAAATAAAATCTTAAAAAAAAAACAACTTAGAGTAAAAGGTGGTGTTTTTAACTTTTCCTTTGATTTATGTTTAGATACTGGTAACCTCAAATGACTCCAGAATCAGACTATATGATCTTAGAGATTTGTCACTCTCCATGAAGTATAAGGGTTATGTCAACAGCAGCAGCCAGATCAAAGCAAGTTTCAGGTAAATTGACTATGAGAAATTCTCAAGAGATCAGAATATTTCTCATCTACTCCCATATTTTCTTTGATCTATGCCTTATGTTTATATGGTGTTTCTAGTTTCTTTGCACTTTTACAACTGATCTCATGTTATTATCATGCAGTACTCACCTTATCCACCTATTTAGTAGATGGAGTTGGAATTGCCCCTTTTCTGCAGACAAAGAAACCAAGACTCAGAAAATTAAGTAATTTGTCTAAAGTCACTAGGTGTTGCAGAGCTAGGATTAGAAGACTCACTCCCGGCTCCAGAGTTTGTGCTTTTGTACTTTTATGTAAGCTTTCTAAGAGGAAATTTACCTGCCACCCACCCATGGTCTTTATCCTTTTAGTTACTGAAGCTAATAAAGCCTTTTAACACCCTAAAGTTACAATGTCCTATATTTACACCTTTACAGAACATTATTATTTGAACTCTTAATTTGGGGTCTGGAGGCTCTCCTGAAATAACTGCCTCTTCTTATAGCCCTCTTTCAGCCCTTTTCTTAACAGTTCTCCTTTCTTCTTGAATTACCCAGTAATTACCGAGAAATTTAATTGGTGAAGTGTCCTGCTTCTCTCTTTCATCTTGTTAAGTAGGTATTTCTCTCAATGTGGGTTAACTAGCACAGTTATCTAGAGCTTTAATGAGCATCCTTGTGCCTCTGGCCTCTATGTCAAACCTGCATGTTCAGAACCTCTGGAGTAAGATTAGGAGTCTAGATTTCAACAAGCTCTCTTGGGTGTTGGCTTAGGTATTTTAAAGTAGGAATCAGTGATAGAGGAAAACCTAAAAAAAAACTGATTTTTTCTTTCTTTCCCAAATTTAGCCATGATTTTAGTTACCTCGTTAGTGGCTCAGAAGATAAATATGTTTATATCTGGAGTACTTACCATGACCTCAGCAAGTTTACTTCAGTCAGGAGAGACCGTAACGATTTTTGGGAAGGTATTAAAGGTAAGTAAATGCCTTCGTCTGTGTGTTTCCTAAGTGAATAAAGTTAAAGTGGAGATGTATTGCAAGTAAATTTGTACAGGTATTATTTCAGAGACAATTTGGCAGTTATAACCACTTTTGCTTTGTATTTGGCTTTGTTTGAATTTTCTATACCAAGGAAAAACTTGTCTAAAATTTGGGAAGTCATGAAATCTCAGAACTTGTACAGGCATACCTTCTTTTAATTAAGGTGTGTACATTGTCTTTGTAGACCTAATTCTAGTGCACATTAATTGACTTCAGTACAGTATAGACAGATTTTTTATATATGCACTGGGAAACAAATTCATTTGACTTTATTGCAATATTCACTTTTTTACAATGATCTGGAACAAAATGTGCAGTGTCTCTCAGGTATGCCTATATGTAATATTTTTTTAGAATATATTTTTGGATTTTAAATAGTTATGTATTAATTTTAAAGGATATTAGCATATAACACACACTACTGTATTTTTTGCATATGATGCTTCTTGTCTTGATGTTTAGAATCAAATTTATTTGTTATCCTGAAGTAAATTCTTTTTCCCCAGCACACAATGCAGTTGTTACATCAGCCATCTTTGCTCCAAACCCAAGTTTGATGTTGTCTTTGGATGTGCAATCTGAAAAGTCAGAAGGGAATGAAAAAGGTGAAGATGTTGAAGTTTTGGATACTGTGCCCTCTGGTAGGTACTCATATTTTATTTGTCCTACATTTTTTCTAGTCAGCACTTAGTAGCCTCATTGACCTACACAGGGTATTGTGAGGTTTTCATGTGTATGAAGAATATTTCTTGTTTACAACATAATTGTGAGTATCCCTTGCTAAATATTTCAGTGGCCTATTTCTTGCAAACTTTACTTCATTTAAATTTACCTGGGAATTAAAAATGAAAATTTTAAAAGCTCATAATGTTTTTATGGGCAGTTCTGCTTGGAGAAATGCAAACAAGACATACAAATGCAAAATTTCTTTATTATCTGTCTCTTCTAGTGGACTGTCATTCTGAGGACAGAGACTTGCTAATGTCCTATGTATTGTTGTGATGCCAGTGCTTAGCACAGTGCTTGCCTGCATGTAGCTGCTCCTAATAGGCATGTGTTGAACAAATGAATTGAACCAAAATGAAAGCAGTGTCTTTTTCTACTTGCCACATACATATAGCTCTGTAACCTCTCAAATCTGTAGCTATTTACAAGCCTCTGATTTTTTTTTTTTGCAATTTGTACCATATGCATAGAGAAATGAGGAGTAATTTCAGTTATATAAAATGCTCAGGTTAGGGGACACCTGGGTGCCTCAGTGGTTGAGCATCTGCCTTTGGCTCAGGTCGTGATCCCAGGGTCCTGGGATCAAGTTCTGCATCGGGCTCCCTATGGGGAGCCTAATTCTCCTTCTGCCTGTGTCTCTCATGAATAAATAAAATAAAAATCTTAAAAATTTGGATTAGTTAATGAAAACAAATCTATTATTCAAATGAATTGCAGAATAGTTTATTAAATGTTCTTTTTCACTCTAGAGACTACAACCAGACCTTTTAGAGAGTTCTAAAGCCACAACAAAAGATACAGTATACAAACAGGGCTTCTAAAAGTATTTGAATACTTAAAAGTTCATAAATATTTTTATTTCATTTAATCTCAAGTAATTTCCCTTATAGTATTATTTACACTGTGCATTGTACCAAATACACTATTTCTTCTGTGGCAGCATAGATAAACTTCAGTCTAGCATGTCCTTCAATTACAAGATTTAAAAATAAACCAAATAAGCATTATTAAACCTTTACTAAATGCCTGTTTGGAAATACTTACTTTTTCTTTTTTTTCTCAGAATCAGATCTAGTGTTCTCTTTTAACTTAAGTCATTTGGGTTTTTTTTTTTCCCAGTGATACCTTTTTTATACTCTGTACATGTCCCTTACACATTTCACTGAAATTTCTAGCTTTTTTTCTTTTAAGAATTAATTTATTTAGAGAGAGTATAGAATGGTGTGGGGTAGGGGGACAGAGAGAGAGAGAGAATCCCAAGGGGACTCCACTCTGAGCACAGAGCCCAACACAGGCCTTGATCTCTGACCCTGAGATCATGACCTGAGCCGAAATCAAGGCACTCAACTAACCAAGCCACCCAGGTGCCCCTGAAAATTCTAGCTTTTAAAACAACTTGAGGGATCCCTGGGTGGCGCAGCGGTTTAGCGCCTGCCTTTGGCCCAGGGCGCGATCCTGGAGACCCGGGATCGAATCCCACGTCGGGCTCCCGGTGCATGGAGCCTGCTTCTCCCTCTGCCTGTGTCTCTGCCTCTCTCTCTCTCTCTCTGTGTGTGTGTGACTATCATAAATAAATAAAAATTAAAAATATATATATATTTAAAAAAAAAAACAACTTGAGAGAAGCACCTGGGTAGTTCAGTAGGTTAAGTGTCTGCCTTTGGCTCAGGTTATGATCACAAGCCCCACATTGGGCTCCAGAGAGCCTGCTTCTCCCTCTCTCCCTCTGCCTGCCACTTCCCCTGCTTGTGCTCTCTCGCTCTGTCAAATAAATAAAATCTCTTTAAAATTTTAAAAAATAAAACAACTTGAGGAAAGATGAAAAAGTACTTTAAAAAAAACTTTTCAAAACTCCACCATATTAACAGGGTTCAATTGACTCACTGGATCCTTTTTAAAGAGGCACAACTTTTAATGCATTATACTCAGATTTGTGATGGCTGTTTTGTACCCATTGAGGTAAAATGTAAGAATAAACTCTGAAAACTGTGGTATGAGATCATAAAACCTATCTGATCGCCCTCTCTATTTCTGACATAGTTGGCAATTTACGCTTCAATTTTCCGCATGTGTAAAATAGTGATAATACCCAGTTTATAAGGTTGTAGTAAAAATTAAAGAGAATATATAGTGTCAAGCAAAATGCCTGCTGCATAGGAGACATCATTATTGTCGTATCTTACAAAGCATTTTTCTGTACACAATGAATTATTTTCTTCTAGCCTTTCTCATATCATATTCTAAGTCCTTTGCTGCTGCTGCATAGCACAACTTTGAGATATGTCAAAGGGTGGTAAGGAATGTTCACAGGCTTAGGATAGGTTTTTAGTGAATCTAAATGAAGCCATTTTGTCTTAACTCATTCTGTACACAACTTTTCAGTTCAATTTGGATTATTTTCTTCCTTACTGATCAGTCCTTTATAAATCTACAGCTTTTGCCTTTGCATAATAGTTAACAAATTTTGTTTGTTAAATTTTGTTTGTTTGATTTTTGCTGGCAAATATAAGAGGTAGGCATTTTGCCATTCAGCATAGCTATATAGCTCTTCAATACAAACCTTAGAGGCTAGGGACACCTGGGAGGCTCTGTGGTTAAGTGTCTGCCTTTGACTCAGGGAGTGATCCTGGAGTCCCAGGATCAAGTCCCACATCGGGCTCCCTTTGGGGGCTTGTTTGTTTCTCCCTCTGTCTGTGTCTCTACCTCTCTCTCTGTGTCTTTCATGGATAAATAAATCTTAAAAAAAACATAGAGGCAAAAAGTTGCTGTCAGTATTTACACAGTGATCATGTATACTTCATTTCATGGCAATTGCAGTATGTCTGCTGTACAATGAACCTTACTGTCAACCTTATTAGAGACCCCCCTGATAGCAACACACTTGGCCCAGCTGATCCTGTTTTGTCAGCCTTCTAGTCCTGGGGCTGAATAATATGCTAGTCTCCTGCCATGAAGTGAAGCATTGGACAATTTAGAGGCCTGGGCTCCCTGGGAGTAAATCCAGGCATCCAGGCCCCAAGGGTCTGTAATCTCTCCAAGCCAGGGAAAGACCAGGTAACACATGGTAAGTGGAAGTGAGCCTCAGAAAGAGGAGAGTACAAGAGAATGAAAAAGATTACAAGAGCAAGCTGGAAAGAAGAGACTGAGGGGTGCCTGGCTGGCTTGGTCCGTGGAGCACGTGACTCTTGATCTCAGGGTTGTGAGTTCTAGCCCCACAATGGATGTAGAGATTACTTAAAAAAAAAATCTTGGAGGTGGGAGAAGACTATAAACATGGGGGAAAGGTGTGGAGTCATGGACATCTGGCACTTATAACCCCAGGTTTTGTATTCTTTTAAAATCAACTAAAACCTTTTTTTTTTATGCTTTTAAGGTATTATGAAGACAGATAATACAGAAGTTCTTCTTTCGGCTGACTTCACTGGAGCAATCAAAGTGTTTATTAACAAAAGGAAAAATGTATCTTAATTTGAAATGACATTTAAAATATATCAGTAAGTTTCTATATGTATCAGAACTGAAAAAAGTATAGTGTTTCAGGCTAACATCTTTTTGTTTTAATTTTTATTGGAAGTTCAAATATAATATATTTTTTGAGAGGCAGTGTTAATGATCTATAAACCCTGGACTGATAGACTAGAAAGAAATGTGGCTAGAATAACATTGCCAGACATTAGGCTTTATGTTTTGTTATATTTGTGTTTTTGTTACATAATTGTGAACATGCACAGGTTTCTGCATGAAAATATATTAATATATTAATCACATGTGTGTGCCTTTTGGTTACATGCACTAAATCTAACAGAGTTAAATTATTTCAGTGGCCCTTTTGGCCTCTTACAGGGAGTGGTGGAGGAGTCTTGTTTCTAGCTTAAACCATTTCTTTTGCACAAAACTTCATTTTTCAGAAAAGTGGTATTGACTGAGTTACTGTTTTGAAAAAGTTATACAGGTTTTCAATAGGTCAACAACCATGTATAAATGTTTTTTATAAATTTCTCAATTTGGGGATAAGATTTTTTTGTGGTCTAAATTGTGGACTTAAGACTCTTTTCTTTGTATGTATATATATATCATTTTTCTTTTTTCTTTTCTCTTTTTTCTTTTCTTTTTCTTTTTCCTCTTTTTCTTCTTTTTTTCTTGCCACACTGGAGCACAATGTTTCTATGTAAAGAATTCTTTTCATTCTTTATCCATGAGCACCAGGCTTTGCTCACGTAAAAAAATTAAGCCGTATTAAGGAGTGAGTCTTCTTTTTTACAATAATGTAAAAATGAACTGTTTACATTTTTTTAAAGCATTGTAGTTTTAAAAATTAAGCTGTTTTGTTTTGTGTTGTTGAATTTGAAAGCCTTTGTAAATATTGATATAATGTACCAATGAAATAACATCTGGGGCAATGGAACCCTGATCATGTTGTTGATGGTTAGCATATGTTTCTGAAAATTAAATATGTATTATTAAAAGTTGGTCGCCAAACACTTGTTAAATATGTGACTTTATTTTCAAATGACTTTGGTAAACTGAGGAATGGAAGAGAAATAAAGTCTTGTTTTATACTTTGATTTTTAGCAAGCAGAACACCGGATTTTGGACCCTTAAGTTATAATGTATTAGCTACATACCTTTAAGAAAAATTTTTTTTCTAATTCTAAAAAGAACACTGCTAAGATTTCATCTGTATGTTTATGTGTTTTTACTCCACTTGTTTTCCATATCTGAGTGAGAAGCTGGAGAGCCATGATCATATCCTTATTAATCAGCATGGTCTTGGAGTGTTCTGGATATTCTGGTTCATTACATATTGTTTGCCTTGCTTTCTCCCCTTGCTTTTTACTTATTACAAACAATTACATATTGCTTTCTCTTGCTTCTCTTTCCAGTGCTGTACTCTCCCCACTGCCCCCCTGCTCGCTCTTCTGTACTCTACCTGACACATGGAATTGTTATGCCATTGGCTTTGTAACCAGTTTCTTTAATCTCAAAATCTGGGTGGCAGTGAGTTTGGTTAAGTGTTACAGAGAATTTGATGTCTTCAACTTCTTTGAGGCAGCTTGGCTTTCACTGACTTCTGTCCAAAGACTTGTAGTCTACTGTGGTGCTAATCATTTCAACTGCAGATATTTGGAGCGTTGCCATAGGACTATTTCCTGACAGGTTTTATGCAGTTTCTGGAACAAAAAGGCAAAAAAAAAAAATAGTTGGGATGCTCTTTTGAGAGAATAATACAAATGTCTCTAAATTTAGTCTTTTAAATGTTTGCTATCACTATGTAAATACACTGCAGATTTCTAAGTCAGAAGGGAAACACAGAATCAAGATATATACAAAGAAAAACTGATTAATATTTCTCCCTAAAATGAGTATTAGAAACTCAATTTAATAAGTGGTGTGGAGGAAAGAGCACAGATTATAGAATCAGAGAAACTTAGATTTGGTTCCCTCTATTAGTACATTCCATGGGTAAGTTATATATCCTATATTTCCATTTCCTTATCTATAATATGAGAACACCTAACTGAAATTTTGTAAAGATTTACTGAGAAATCATGTATGTATAAAGCTTTTTGCCTCGCAAGTAGGTGTATTCAACAAATGTACATTTCTCACAGCCTTTCCCAAATCCCTGAGTGCCCTCTAGACTTTCTCCCCCCACAAAAAAGTATATAGAAGTGCTTTCTAGAATGAGATTTCATAGATAAATAGCATTTTAGGTATTGACATAAAGCACCAACATTTTTTTTTGCCAACTTGACACTTTTTAAGCCATCTATGATCACCTCTTCAGAAAAGTGAACATTTGATAGTTTAAAAAGTTAAGTACAATCTTATCATCTTAGAGCAGTGAACAATCTATTAAAGTGAATAAACCTAGCTTTTGGGCAAAAAAGTAACCATATTCCCTTATTTTCCAATTTTTCCTTCCTTGAAAATTTCATCATGGACCTAATGTGGCAGGATGAAAACCACTGTGCTAGATGAACAAAACAAGTTTAAAACATTAAAAGCTCTTTGAAAAGTCATTTTGAGTTTTTCTCTCTCTTGCTTACCTTAATTGGAATTGTTAACGATTCAACATAATTTAGCATGCCTGATCTTCAAATGATACAGCTAGGCAATGACTTTTTATTCTTTGAAATATATATTTAGCAATTTATTATCTCTCAAGTCCTGATTTCAATTGTGTAATTTTGAAAATCAGAGGCCAGGGATCCCTGGGTGGCGCAGCGGTTTGGCGCCTGCCTTTGGCCCAGGGCGCGATCCTGGAGACCCGGGATCGAATCCCACGTCGGGCTCCCGGTGCATGAAGCCTGCTTCTCCCTCTGCCTATGTCTCTGCCTCTCTCTCTCTCTCTCTCTCTCTCTCTCTGTGACTATCATAAATAAATAAAAATTTAAAAAAAAGAAAATCAGAGGCCAGATAGCCTCACTCGTAAAAAAAAAATCATCAAAATATTCTTTAAGCATTTCAGTTATTTTTAAAGAAAAACAGCTTTTTCCAAGGGTAGAATATTTTTAAATAACCTCAATTACTATGGGGATTCAAGGTAGAGACATGTTTGAAATTTAATGTTTCCCCATAACTTTTCAAAACAGAAACATTCCCTCCCAGTTTCACTGGTTTCTAGTTCTCTGATTCATTAAGCAAATGTTTATTGAACACCTACTATATACAGAGCGCTGCTGGGACTAGAGAAGAATAAGGCAACATTCCTGTGCCAAAAGAGCTTACAGTCTGGCGGAGAAGATTCCCCAGAAACAAGTAAGAGGCTTGGAACTGTCTTGTGGCTGTGGACCTAGAAATGCCCCTTCTCACCCTAACCCCTGTCTGTTTTGCCCTTCCATCGCAGCCACTTGATCTCAGGCCAATCTTTGTTCATCTAATATTACAAGCAGCAAGGATAATATGGGTAACAGAGTTTATAAGTAAGCCAGAGTAAGGCAGAGAAAATGGAGTACTCTCCATAGTGACATTTTCCCTGGTCTCTGGTCCTTTCCTCCCAGCCTGAAATCTTTGTCTTATTCCCCAAAAAAATCTTAACTGTCTTCTGCTTTGAGTTAACTCCAGCTTAATAGACACCCCCCCCTCAACTGCTCTCCTGTTGCCTTCAGTTCTGAAGCTTTGCCTGTTTTGTTCTCTAGATTTGAGTCAGCTATGCTACTGGGGAACTCTGGCTCCCCTTATTAACCACAGCCACTTTTCTGGTATAGATTTATGCACATGAAATACATTCAGGTTGATGGAGCAGGGCCGATGTGAGGGGATTAAGGGAGATGGGATATAGACTTGAAGGGAAAAAGATCTATCACAAAGTCCCAAACAAATCAAATGCCATCGTTAGCTAGGGTGGTCCAAGCAGATAGTTTGCTCCTATATCTAGCTACCCTGCATTACATTTTTTAAATAAAATTTTCATTTTAAAGTAACCTGATGAACAGAAAGTTGCAAAGAATATATGGGGATCCTATATAGGATTCCCTCAGTTACCCCTAATGTTAACATCTTATATTACCATGGTGCATTAGTCAAAACTAAGAAACCAACTCTGGTACATTATTAAGTAAATTCCAGACTATTCAAATTGTACCAGTTTTTCCACTTAGTGTCCTTTTTCAGTTCTAAGATCCAATCCAGAATACCATATTGCATTTAGGCATATTATGCTTTCTTAATTTAAATAAACATTTTATATTAGAATATTAAGGGGCAACTGAGTGACTCAGTAGGTTAAGCATCTGACTGGATTTTTGGCTCAGGTCATGATCCTCAGGCTCGTGGGATTGAGCCTGACATTGGGCTTTGCTGTTCTCAGCGTGGAGTCTGCTGTAGATTCTCTCTCTGACCCTTCCCTCCTCCCAAATATTTACATCTTTTTCTTTAAAAAATAGTTTTAGGGGATCCCTGGGTGGCTCAGCGGTTTAGCGCCTGTCTTTGGCCCAGGGCGTGATCCTGGAGTCCCGGGATCAAGTCCCTCGTCGGGTTCCCGGCATGGATCCTGCTTCTCCCTCCTCCTGTGTCTCTGCCTCTCTCTCTATATATATATGTCTCTCATAAATAAATAAGTTTTAAAAAAAATAGTTTTAAGTTTTCAGAAAAGTTTGCAAAGAGTTCATGTAACTCCTGTACCACTTTCTCTGTTAACATCTTAAGTTACTGTGGTACATTTTTCACATTAAAAAACCAACATTTGGTACATTATTACTAACTAAACTATATGCTTTCTTCAGATTTCACTGGTTTTTAACCTAATGTCTTTGTTCTGGGATCTAATCCAGGATATGATATTACATGTGGTTGTCAGGTCTCTTTAGGTTCCTCTTAGCCATTACGGTTTTTCAGATTTTTCATGCTTTTGATAACCTCAACAGTTTTGAGAAGTATTGGTCAAATATTTTGTTGAATGTCCCTGGGTTTGGGTTTGTCTGGTGTTGTTCTCATGATTTGACTGGGTTTATGGACTTTTGGAAGGAAGACCACAGAGGTAAATTGCTCTTTTCATTTCATCCTACTAAGGATACATACTATCAACATGACTTAAAACCTGGCTGAGGTAGTAGTGTTTTTCAGGTTTCTCTACTATAGAGTTAATTTTTTCTTTTTTTCTATAAATCTACCCTTTGCAAATGAATCACTAAGCACAGCCCAAACTCATAAAGTGTGGAGAGGAATTAAGGCCCACCTCCTTTGGGGCAAGTAACTATACAACTTATTTGGTATTGTTAAGTGTGGGTGATAGGTCTCTTCTCCTTTATTTATTTATTTATTTATTTATTTATTTATTTATTTATCTCAACCCTTTATTTACATTAGCATGGGTTTGTGGGTATTTATTTTATGCTTTGACTTGTAAACCAATACTGTATTATTTTGTAGTTCAGCTTGTTCCAGCCTTGTATTTAGGAATTCTTTCAAACTGGCTTCTGTGTCCAGTTGGCATCCCCTATTTTTTTTTGAGCATTTCCTTACTTTCTGTCACTCCAAGATGCTCCAGGATCATCTTGTATCTTTCCTGCTGCAGCCATTTAATCGAGGAGCCCTGGTTCCCTTTACTGGAGAAGGATATTAGAAACCAAGATCTGGGTGTTAGATGTGCTTGTTTCTCCCAGGTGTCATTTCTCTTAGACTTTCTCATCTGGCAGAGCAAAAAAATAAATGTGTGTATGCTAATATCTATATGTACAAATATCTAGAAACATTTCTATGTAACCATCAATATTTAATTAAATAGAAGTTCTTATTGACGTCTCTAATCCATTAATACATGGATCATTCTAGTTTCCTCTTATTAATAACCTCCTTCTCCAACAGAGAAACCTGGCTCCCACCATTTACTATCCATTTACTTATTTATTCAATCCCAGCACAACACATTCAGTGGTTTTAGAATTGGTAACCTATATCCCCATGAGAAACAACTTTACCAACAGGAGTCCAGTTTTTCTGTATAGTCTTTATCTTTGGTGTCATAGTTCTGGTCACAAAATTGTTTTCCAGGGATCCCTGGGTGGCG